TGGCAGGTAGACGACGAAGGGTAGTTGCACACTTTTCCAACACAAAGGCAGAATTTTCATGAAAGCGTTTACGATTTGACAGAAACACGCGAGCCTATTCGACGTCCAGTCGTAAATGGAAAGTAGTTCTCCAACGACGTAGAAAATTCGCAACCCTCTCATCTTCCAAATTTTGAATTACATCTGACAGTAAACAAATAAAAATACTATGAGATACACGTACAGCAATTTGTACAATCTTCCACAGCCAGGATTAACACTAAGTTTACTAATACTATCTGTATACCTATTTTTACATATTTGACACCTGTCAAATTGACAGGTAAAAGTAACCACGTGTCTCATTTTTTTAACGATTTGTTTAATTTAAAAACAATTACAGTGTTAACAGTCTTGACATAAGTTAACTAAATCTGTTACCATCGTGTAATTGAAGCAACCCATCCGTCAAATTGACGGGTTCCGTGAAGCTAGTGTTAAAAAGCCTAATTTCGCAGTAGCATTATCTCTTCCTGTACGAGTTATATTTAATCTTCATTCATCGATACCTTCGTCAGCATTGTAAATGTTATTTAAATTGTTATTTTATTATCGTATTTAGATTTCATCAGTGTATGTATAATATAACACAATATAATAAAACATACTTACACTTTGTTAAACAATATAATTAACAATTTTGAGCCTCCAGACAAATATCTCCAGATTTACCTTATCATTCAAAGACACACCTAACCAGGAATGGTATTTAATCCTGAAATTGAAATTCTTTATAAGATCAAGAACTTGTTTATATATAAACTGTTGAAATATATTTCTCTGTATTAAGTAAATACAAAATGAATTTTCGAGTCTACCCTATTCCATCTATTAAAATAGAGACCTGTATTTCATCAGTACCCTCTGAACTATAAACTGTAAAACTATAGGTATCAATAGTCAGTGAACCGGTGAATAAAGAAATAAAAAAAGAATTTTAATGTAAAGGGAACAAAAATATCACTATACCAGGTCAAAATTGGCATAGTGAAGTTACCAAAGCACCGAATGTACAATTTTATTTGATCAGGTTTCCAAGCCAAACAGAATTTCTGTTTCAAACGGTGTATCATCGCCATATCTCTACTGCGAACGACGAAAGCAGGAAAAGCCCGATCCCGATGCAACAAAACTCTAAACAAAACCCTTTCTCGACCCGACATAACCTCTCCCGCCATCTCGTGCAGGCGTGAACACCCGCAGCAAAGTGCGAGGACAAACGGGATCGGCGTAGCCCCGGGATAAGGCTCGCGGTGCGATAAGGCTGGGGAAAGAAAGTGACATGGCCGAAGACGGATCGGGAAAGGAGGGACACTCTCGGGTTTCTTGGAATCCTCGTTATTCCAGACGAGCAGGGCCGAGCGTGGCCGGGGAAAGCCACGAAATATCCGAAGAAAAACACGTTTCCAGAGCCGAATCGATAGCAACAATGCCGTGGCAAAAGCACGAGGCCTCGGCTCACGAGAGGACGAAGGGGTACCGGCGAAAGGGGAGCTGGCTCTCTCTGAGCCGTGTGCTAGAGGGTAGGTAGAGGGAGCCAACGAACGAGGGTGAGAGGACGAGCAGAACGCGAAAGTGAGAGAGAGAGAGAGAGAGAGGAGGATGGAAGGAGAAGAGCGGGAACAGGCAGAAAGGGGATGGAAAGCGTGGTACGAGGCAGCCTTATTGGAATCGTGGAGAGGGAGGCGAGTTTTCCTAAGGGCAGAGGGAGAGAACGGAGGAGACAGGTGGCGAGGAGAGTGGAGAAGGTTGGACAGAGAGAACGGGGGACTTAGAGAGAGAGACGGGACCGGTTGATGGAACGAGGCCGCTACAACGTTGGCAACAGCCAGATGGGAAAAGGCTGCATTACCTATGGTGCCTCGAAGAAACGATCCTTACCTAGAGGGATATAGAGGAAGAAAGGGAGGGAGAGAGAGAGCGAGAGAGGACAGGTAACTTGCCTCTGCCCTTTCCTCCTTTGTTAAACGGGACTCGATGATTCTATCCTCTTTGTTCGTGATATTAAAGTACGTCAAGGCGACGCCGATTCGACCATCCCCGTCCCACCCCCAGTCCACCCCCATTCCACCCCGTTCCACGGCCAGAAGTGTCAATTGCGTTCATTGTTCGTTCATAGAGCGTCGGATCGACGGATCTTTCCACGGGCTCTCTGCCGTTTTCTCGTGGGAAGACTGCAGGGTATTGATGGATGAAAGGGTGCGTATCTTCATGCTGATCGTGATCTGCATATTGAACCCGCCGATTATCTCACGATCTTCCGTTCTGCCTCACCGTTTCGGGGGTGGTTTCCTACGGTTGCGCGAGATTTATGGAAGCCTGGTCGTTCGAGTGTACTTTAACTCTAGGTTTGCGGACGCTATCTGTATACCTTTCTCTAAGGACACCTGTCAAATTGTAACAGGTAAAGGAAACCACGTACCATTTTTTTTAACGATTAGTTTAATTCCGTAACAATTATATATTATATTAACGGCCTTAAGCACACTCGCGGTGCAAAGAAGTGCACAGTTGCGCGTGCCAGAACAGTCGAGTGGAAATCATCTTCGGGACGCAAATAATATCACTGGCTTCGCTATCACTTTCCGTTCTACAGTCTGGGGTCAATACTGATAATTTTACACGATAAAACGCAAGCAGAAACTGTGCCACGGTAAAGAATTGCATTAACGGTGGACGTGTCGCTGGTGTTCCGGTAACAGGAGCATCTCGACGTGCGTGGCACGTCTTTCCAACGCAAGTGGTTAATATAAGTTAACTAAATCTGTTACCATCGTATAATTGGAGCAACTCTTCCGTCAAATTAACGGGTTCCGTAAGTCTAGTGTTAAGGGAGGATTGTCACGGTGATCATAGGCGAATTTAAGTAGTGGTTAACGTGAGACGAATTGAGTTAAGACGCTGTTGCAGTGAAAACTAAACAGCAAAGTAAACTGTACATCCTAGCAATATCGAGGCGATCCCTTCCCCTACGTTTTGTCTTTTGTCTCCAGTTTTCCGAGGACGATTTGTGACCTGCGTGCCCCTAAACAGGCCAGTTCTGACCATTCGCCTGTTCAATAAAGATCTATGCAGTTTTTCCACAGTTTTCATCGACTGCTATTCTTTTGCGTTATAACCCCTTGAACAGACGCCATTAAGAGCTAAAGTACCTGTAAAAATTACAGGTAGCCCAGTAATTCCAAAATGAATGGAAAAATTATCGCTTCGATTGGTTTTCTTATTGCCGAGGTATAGCAAGTTTTCTTCCGAATAATTTCTTTTAATTCTTTTTGAGGTATGTATCAGGAATGGTATACATATATAGGAAGTGTAGTATGTGGTATTAACTAGATCCTTCGATTTTGTCGAAATAAAAGTGATAATGGCGAGAATAAACAAGATTTTCGATTTAGACGCAGCAAGCTAAGGAAACCCTCGCTATTTTCCCCGGTAGATGGAAAAATGCTGAGCGTTTAATTAGTAAAATTTAAGGATGATGTAGCGGCATAATTTAAGTAGCGCGTTCATGAATTTCAGATGGCGAGTTGAAAATTTGATCAAGCCCGAAAGAAAAATGAATATGATAGATAATGATGTTTCTGATATAAGAAGCTGTTACGGGAAACGAAATTAGAATCATAATTGCATTTTACACGCAATTATCACATTCGACGAAACAAAAAAAAAATATATATATCACAAATTTCACAAAATCCTTCGAAAATTTTCCAATTACAATTTGAATATTTAAAACGAAAATCAAAAATCTGAGATCGACGTGATATTTCGATGCAGGTCACAGAAGAAAAGGGGGGTGGGGGTTGGAGGGGTAATAAAAACGCCGTTAGTTCGGATTTTGTGATTTCATATATTTTCCCATCTTGTTCGTGTGTGCAATTTAAATATAATAAAATAATAATTAATAATTAATAATTAATTATAATGATGATAACTGTCACGGTAGTAGTAATAATAATAATAATAATAA